CTGACGCTGTCTTGTACTGAGTCAAGCCACCGGGTCATCCAGCCCAGAACTGATGATACTGATTGGCAACAGCTCTCCAGGGTCTCGGCAAGGGTTTTTCTAGCCCTACCTGGAGTTGTAGGGGATTCATCTTGGGAGCCACCAGTGGGCTATGCATCCCCCAGCTTCCAGTGGCTATCAGCTGGGATGAAAATGTACATGAAAATGAGCACAGACTTTTGTGCACAAAAACACAACAAATCTTGTAATTTGTTGCAGAACAGATGCAAGTTGAAGCAAGCTTTGAGAAGAAAGTTAACAAAGCCCAAGGGACGGAGTTTTTCTCAGCCATATATCCTTAGCTGTTCCTCAAGAACTGCTACATTTCTCAAATGCAGTTGACTGTTGACTTGATTTTTTATAGGTTGCTACAAAGAGTGGGGTGGGGGGAGGCACGTAGACAAGGCACAGATGGGCCAATTGTTCTTCAGAAACAGGAAAGTTATTGTTATGGAAAAATTACCTATCCAACCAGTCAGCTGTCTGCTCACGGATTGTGTGACCGTGTGCTCAGAGAAAGGAGAAAGATAGCCCTGCTTATGCAGGCGTGCAAAGTATGAGCTGGTTTGTATTGGCAAAGGGGGAACAATCAAGCACAACCCCGTTGCTATAGGTTAAGCTGCTGTGGGCTGCTTGGCACACAGTGAGTCAATTCTTGCAGCACAAATTCTTTCTTTAGAAACAAGATGACAGACATCCTGTGATTCAGATTCATCCTTGGCTCGATTCCATTGATTTCATCTGAGATGCACCCCTTTTATGACAGTAGTAATTTTACTACTGCTCAGACTATTTGACCTTCCTCCTTTAAGGTAATTGTCATGCCAGCTTGCATGAGCCAGCATCCCAATTCCATGTGAGCAGTTGTAATTCCACTGAGAAGCCCAGTCCTCTTGCTGGTTTTCTTCAAGAAGAAAGCTCTTGTCAAAGTACCGTTTTCTTCTTAGATTTGTGGTGCAACTGAAGGATGCTACAGACACATGTGCTTGCATACACAAGTACAGGTGCTTCTTCTGTCTGGGTAGGGCCCAATTTATTAAACATGCATTTAACAACAAGGAAAATTTGGGGATATGACAGTTTTGCATGGAATCTATCAGGAATGAGTAGCAGCAGGTTTTTAGAAGTCACTTTTCTATAAGAACTCATCAAAATTCACTCATTTCATTATAAACTGGATGGAAAGAGCCTCAGATTAAAAAAATGTGGGGGGGAAATTGAAACTGACAGCTTTGTCCTTCCATCCTGAGAATAAATTATTCTCATCTCATAATGGGCCCAGCCTTTCCAAGATTTCTTAACGAATTTTCAGAGAAATTTCAGAACCTGCCTAAGCCTGGAAAGACACAGCCAAAAAGATTACTTCTCTAGGGAAGGTTGAATATTCCATTTTACTTTATATTCACAGATCTCTTCATATTCAGGATGGAAAGTCCTTTATACTTAAAATTTAAAAAAATCCAAATGTGGGAGAAGCCAGCTGCTGCACCTGAAATTCAGTCCCATTCTGGATGTTTGGAACAGCTTCTGCTCTTTCCAGGAAACTCTATGGAAACCACAATATTGGGTTCAGACAACCAGAGAAACTATGGTGAACCATGGTTTGTGTTGGAAACCACACAACTGACTGTTGTTTCTTATCATGGTTTCTAAAAGCTGAAGGTACCATACTGAAATAGCACAATAGGGTTCAAACGGCACAACAAGCCATCCTGCTCGAGAAGCCACCATGGCTTGCCACGTGATGCCACACCCAGAGAGTGGTGGCAATGCTGGGAAAGTAGAGGCAAACTGGCAGCCAGTGACAATAGCCATGGGAGGTTAGATGCACTGAAGAGTCCATTGAAACATGGAGCCAGAAATGGGAGGAGTCCCAGGAAGCCTCCTGGCTGCCATCTTTTTCTGATCCCCTTGTCCTGAACGGAAGCTGAAAGACAGGCAGGGGGGCCCTTCATCCCCAGCCTTTGCAGTAAGGATTCAAGAGCTACTCTCCCCTGTTCCACACCCCATGCCCGCTCCTCTGCATAATGGGAAGCCTCTTGACAATCCCCGTTGTTAAATGTTGAGTGGGGGAATCATGAGCTTTTAAAGAACCTCTTTCTAATGTCTCTGCTTGAATGAGACTGCATTGGAACTAAAGTTCCTTTTCAGCTCTTGTTCAGTTCAAGATATGGTTGCTCTTAAAATTGTGAACAGTAAAGACTACAAATCATCTTTCCTGGAGCAGGTTGAATAAAGTGATGTTAGGACTGAGCCACAAAAGAAGAATAACTTGACGTCCTCTTGGTGCCCCTTGGTGGTGGTAGAGAGGGAGGCTGGTGTTAAATCTATACAAGCTGGTGGTGATTCTGCAGAGAACCTCCAATCTCTGGAAAGGATAAATACACCTGTGGTAGATAGGATGTTAGTATCACCCTCTAAAAAGATTCAGAGCACAGGAGATGCTTCTGAATCCCACATTATTTCTGGATGATCAGTGGTAGCCAATGGCCATCAGCATAGGGACTGCAACCTCTTGGTGCAGGGGTGATCCTGCAAGATTTACCCATGCTTTGGTGACCTCTGGGATTGACAACTGCAATATGCTTTCCATGGGGCTGCCCTTGAAGAAGACTCAGGAACTGCAACTGAGGCTGAAGGGCTCCCTTGTCTCCTGCCAAAACTCAGGTGGTGTTAGCATATTCAACCAGCTTTTGTAGCAACAAGCTCCGACTGCCTGTTATGCCCCAGGCCCAGGACAGGGTATAATCTTCAAAGCCTTCCATAGCCTGGAACTGAGATTCCTTTATTGCATAGCTCCTGTGTATTTCAGGGTTTCACCTGGTGAAGACAGAACATCAAGTGCATGAAGTAGAACCTTCACTGCAGTTGCCCAAGGGCCATATGGAGATCAGGAGTTGGCCCTCTCTTCTCTGCTTTCCATAAGGAATTCAGAACTGCCTGCCCTGGTTAACTTACTGGCAGGCAGTTTGATTGGTGTTTCCAATTACTGTTCTACATGTGCTTTAAATAATTTAACTTACATCATTTGAATTTTTGCTTTAAAGAAAGTGTTTATTGCTTTGTCAACTGGTATTTTGAATAGATAAAGTTCCACCGCCACTTCCCTGCAAAAAGAGGCTGCAGACCAGGAGTTTTTAAACTGTTTTTTAGCTATGACTATGCAACTTATGCATGTTGAGCAAGAAACAGTAACAGCAGCCACTGTTTTTAAAGTTGTCTTGCAAAAGTAAGGTGGGTGGGTATGTGGTCACACTGAGTAGGCAAAAACAGGAGGGAAAGTCTCTACCAAAAAAAATAAGAAATCTTCCATTTAAGTGGAATTAGCTTGAATGGTCAGGTTTCAGAGCCAGAAGATTTAAAGAATGACAACAAAGCACAAAATTCCATCAGTTAAGACAAAGTAATTGATAGTTTTCTATTCTCTTCACTCTTGGTATGTACACTAGGGTGACTTTGCTTTCAGTGCTTGAGTGTGCCAGTAACTCCCATTGATTTTGTGGTTAGATCTGAAGCAATACATACTTCTCCTACAAATACTGGCACTCTTGGGAAAACAGGGTGAACCTTTCTTGCAAGATGTGACTTTTTTCTCTGTTTAAGCTAACATTTAATTCAATTTCTAACTAGTTGCTAACTTCACCCCTAGTCCCCTGAAAATAATCTTCCCTTCCTCCCCTACACCAGCTTCTGAACTTAATCTAGAATTGCCATCATACCTATAAGACTATGTTGGAGACATGAGGTATCGGAACTAGAAAGTTGAGGTCCTAAGGGAACTGTATTCAGGACCTAATTCTATTATCACTTGTACCAATCAGTTGCAAAGTGCACAGATAGCAGGATAATTCCAAACTTTATGTTGTAAATGTGTTTGCTGCGGGGAAAATGTAGCAAAGATAGGAAGTGAAAACGTGTGAGGACACACATTGCACAATTGTGATTAGTCTGAGAGCCACAGGTGCATCTACTAGCACTTTCAAAGATTCTTGGGAGTTCTACACATTTTTGTACAGAATGACCCAACCGAAACCTCTCATGTTAATGCACTGCTTGGAGGTGATGTTGGATTTTCTGTTTCTCTGAAAGTTGTAGCACAGTTTTCAGCAGGTTCAACAAAGCAAAATACATATTGAAGTACATAAATTAAATGTGCTTTTTGAGTGAGAGAAACAAATATGTACTTCTGTGGGTAAATATTTATTTTGAAATAAGTCATGGCTTCTTTAAAAACATATTTTAAGAAAAAATATACCTATGAATACAGATTAAGATATGTACTGAGATATATATACTGAGGAGGAGAAAGTTAGTCATGCAGATTAATAGTGAAACAAATAGAATTGTGGGTAGAATCTAAAGCTGTGGGGAAACAGCCTCTTGAAATTCTCTATTCTTTTATGGGCATTTCTATTAGGTGAGACCAATCCACTGAATTTCTCCAGTAGGTAGGGGTAAGGGTAGGTTCAGAATTAGGGTTAGGGTTCTCTCAGGATTAGGAATCACCAGGATCAATGATGGCAGCGTAGCTTCCTTTTTCCCCCCAATTATTCTTGTTGCCGCTGCCACTGAAGGTGGAAAGAGTAGCCATTCCATTGGCCATGTGGCCGTTGTGTACGTACCCCCATCTCTAGCATCATTCTGGGTGTGTTGCTCTCCATTGGTGACAGGTATGGAGAGTGTTGGTCACCACCATAAAGTAGCAAAGAGTATTCAGCTTTAATTCTATAAAAAGGTCTTTTTCTAGAAAGTGGGTTCAGAAAAAAGAACATTTTAGTCATTTGCAAAGTGGCAATTATCTTCTGAGAAGTTACAGCTCAGCTCTGGTAAAAATGTTCAAAAGCGACAACCAAAACCAGATTCCTACATCCCTATTAGCAACATAAGAAGTTCCTTGCCTACTTCTTCTACAGGGTTGATTTTTGACTCACCTGTTTCCCCACCCTCTCTTTCCATTCCAGTTGATTTGGACAGGTTGAACGATGATGTGAAACGTTATAGTTGCACTCCAAGGAACTATTCGGTCAACCTAAGGGAAGAGCTGCGGCAAACCAATGTTGTTTTCTTCCCACGCTGCCTTCTCGTCCAGCGCTGCGGAGGTAACTGTGGCTGCGGCTCCGTAAACTGGAAATCCTGCACATGTACAGCAGGAAAATTGGTGAAAAAATATCACGAGGTATTTGGCACTCTGCTTCTTTCTCTCTGGGTCTCACTGGTTTATGTTTGTGCACTCCCATTGTTTCCTCTAGGCTCATGAAGGACTGCATTTTAAAATTAAAACTTCTTTGGGATTTACTTCTTCCACATCCAGCTCCCAAGTGCTTACTTTCTGCATTGCCTCTCCCCACCAGTCCTTTCTAAGCACCCAGCATACTTGAATAATATTTATTAAACATCTACCAGGAAAAAAAAACCTAGGATGGTGACAGTTTTGAACTTTTCAGGTTACAAAGGGGCTTATTTGTTGAATGCCAGAATACAAGGGCTGGGAATTCAGAGGCTTGGAAACCTACCCTGGGTCCATTTTATGCAGCCTCCAGCTGAAGTCCTTGCTTATCTCACACTCAGTCCTCTTTGCTATTAGGCATCTCAGGCCAAGTCCACTTTTGCCCAGCACACAATTCCCCCCTCTTCATGCCAGAGGTGTTGAACCCTTTCCAGGCCGAGGGCCAAACTCCGCGTTGGACAAATGCTCAGGGATGCATCCTGTGGTGGGAAACTGCAAACACTTGGGAGTTGAGGGAAAGGAATGGGACAAGGAGGAGGGATAGTGGCCTTCTAGGGATCCCCAGGTGGCCAGATGTGTACCTCAGGCCTACCTGAGGCTCTTCAATTGGCCAGACCCAGGTGGAGGCCAAGATAAAGGTTGACGGGAGGAAAGCGCTGAGACACCTAAGTAGAAAAGGCTTTCCTGGTTCACTGTGGGAAAGAAGGGTTTAAAGGAGCCTTTTGCCTGTATTGGCAAGGAAGGGGGCCAATGGGCAGAGCCAAACTGCATCCTCCAAAGTGGCCATTTGAGCATCACTCCAAACAACAGGGCAATGTTTTGCATATTTGCATGTGCTGATGCAGATCTATAGGTACAGCTTTTGGAACAATGATTACAATTTTAAAAGAAAAGCAGTACATTTCACCCTAGCACAGAAGTCTGTGGCCAGACTGTGTGCCTACCTGTCCAGGTTGCTGCCAGATATTAATTGTGGATGGGTAGCAGTTTTTCTTATTGTTTATCTTTAGAGCAGAATTGGACAGAACAGCCCATCCAATAAAGGGCATCTCTCCTCTTCTCCTCTGACAGCTTGTCAATACGTATTTCTTTACTTGATTCATGCAAAAAAGGGACACTCGAGGAAGCAAGAAGGCTATCCATTGTAAAGTAGGATATCAGGCCACTGGACATATGTCTCTGCCCCCAGAAAAGGAGGTCTGCTTGCAGGGGTCTTCTCTGAATGGGAAAAGGTCTTTTGCTGCCGTTGCAGTCCTTCCAGCAGTGCTTCGCCACTGGTGCATGGCAAAAATTAGGGCAGTTCAGGGCAATGGAATTAGGGATAGGTCAGGGCTACTGAGCATCCTCAGGACCCCGTTCCCTCTTGTTCCCCTGATAAGCCCCCCAGCAGAACTGCACACTTCACCAGCGCAAGGGTTGGCACAGGTGGCCGTTGTCCCCATGCTTCTCCTTGGTTGGCATGGCAGGAAGTAGCATCTTCCCAACTTTGGATCTCTCCTCCCACCACAGTATGATAGCACGGTGAAATACTGCCACCCGTTCTACAGAGAGGGGTGCAAGTGCTTGGCTTTCATTAATCCCTTCTCACCAAATACCAGATTGGTGTATTTTGCTGCTAGTTTTCAGGGCTTGTTCTTAATGAACACATTTAAAAATCAGAGAGCTTATCTCAGTGCAGGTTGATTGAACTGGGAATGGGGAAGGAAGCTTCTAAAAGCAGCATAGCGTGACTGCATCATGGATGTGAGTAAATAAAAGAGCGAGTGCCTTGATTGGAGGAGGCAATAAGTATGCAGCACCCAAATATTAATGTGATTTATAATGAATATTAAGGATTTTGCTGCATGCTCTCATGTCAGGAGAACAGATTAGCAGGCGGTTGGGTGGGCACACAGCATGGAAGACCTGCCTTTCCCTGCAATGGAAAAAGGGAGGCAAGGAATCCACACACCGAGTCTGCCACATTGCTATTAATTCTTCCATTCTTTTTATCTCACAAACCGGAATTAATTAAGGACAATGTTCTAGCTTTAGCTTCCAGTGACCTGACTTTTGTAAATTTAAATGTAAATGTATCCTTTAGGGATGAATTAACAGTACAGTGAACACAGATTTAGACATTAGCATTAACAGAGGCTGGAAAGATAAATCTATATTGGATACATCAAAGACAAGATGTATCCAATATAGTGCATTATAGTGCATTAACCCAGTGCATTCTTCCCTGGCAAGATTCTTTAAGGGTTTTTGGGAGGAAGCATATCCTGGGGCAAGTTACTCTTCACTTCCATTGTTCCACATTTATCTAGCCATTAAAATGTTCTCATTGGGGCAGAAGAGGAGGAGATACTGACTCTTTTGCGTCTTTCCCATCTTAGAACCCATTTGAACATTCACTTGGTGTAGCCTGCAAAGGATGACACCACCTCCGGTGGCATATGAGGTTTAACATATAGAAAAGCATGCCATGTGCAAATTCACCTTCCCTGTGCAAAGTGAGCGTGCTCAGAATAAAGAGGGCAAGTTGAGAAGACTTTCCTGTGGTGTGCAAGCATGCTACGCAGAGGAAATGTGAATGTTCGGCCTCTGAAAGTTCTAAAGGCATATGCTGCTAAGCTAGGCAGGACTGAGATGGCACAACATCTGGCGAGTCCTTCTGAATTCTTCAAAAAGAGAATGTAAGTTGGAGAGATTTAGGGTGTACCCTTGAGACTCATATGCCTCTGAACTTGGAGGCATATGAGCATCCTCTGCAGAGTAGGGGAAGCTGCAGATGCGATTTCCCCCTCCCCATTTCTCCCTCTCAGGGCCTGGTTTCTGTTTTTCTATCTTTCTTAGGGGAGAAATAGAAAGGCAGAGGAAAAGAGAATTAAGCTACTCAAGTTCCTCACCACTTTTAGTTAGCTATCTCAGGGTGGGAGGATTGGTTTTCAAGGGATACTCTTCCCATGTCCAGAAATGTGTGTCCCTGTTAAATAGTGATGAAGCATATGGTCTGGGGGCTGAAAGTCCTCTAGCACAATGGAGGGCGGGGGGAGGAAAGATAGTATGTCCATCAGCTGTTAACCTCTGGGCAGCAGACTGAGGAGAAACCCAAGCTGCCTGGTCTCTGTTTCGCCCATCACTGGATTTCTGTTTGAATTATAAGTATTTCAGCACGTGCATCTATCACAGACATTAGCAGATAGAAAAGATATGCAGGTCTGTGTCTTCATCTGCCCTGGGTTTTTTCAGTGATGAATTTCATAATTTTGGCAAGGTAAAAGTGGCTACCCTACATGTTAACCATTTCAGTATTGCCTTATCATAGACCAGTTTATTTGTGTTGCCCCACTGTAAGTAGGATCAAATGAAGATATCGTGCATGCCACATCTGGAAATGAACTTAACTGATTCACACCTCCCAAAATAAATGTGCAAATTGAAACATTTGCCTTCTGATTCTGCCCATCTCCACAATTTGATGTGGTCTGGGCCTTCAACACAATAGTAAAATGTATGATTCCCCATAAAAAATATAATATAGGCTCATGAACATGGTGCAGACTTTTAGCTGAGGCTCCTTCCCCTGCAGATTAATGCAGAAATAGAATGGGCAATGGATTCCTGTGAAATTGCCACAGACCAATAATGGTTTGTTCTACCCCTCCATAATTATAAATACCAATGCAATTTCAAATACATCTCATCTTAACAATCAGCCACTCATTTTTACAGTATTTGACTCCCAGCATCGAATCAATAATGTGTTTTTAATATAAACATGGGAGGGTTAAAAAGGATTGATTCGTTATAAGCCAGGAAATCAATCACCAGCTAAAAATAAATAGATCTGTACTTGGTAGACAGCGCTTTGGAGAATATTTGGTTCTCAAGTAATGTAGTGAGCCCTGTTCATTCCATATTCTCCAAAATTCCAGTCAAGGTCAAGAGAGTGTGATGAAGGTTGCATGAAAGGCCCATGGCATTTGTCACCAGGTAGGGAAATGACACAGACATGACCCTTTGTTGTCCTTTGATACGAGGCGTAGATAGATACGAGGCACAACTCTTGGACAGTGTTGTGTGGCTCTGCTTCTTCCATGCGGTCAATTCTGTGAGGGCTTTCATAAGGGCATCACAATCCTTTCTATTCCTGTAAATGCGGACTCTTCCTCAGCAGTAGCATTTTCCAGCTAGGTTTTATTAACATAGCCCACAGGCAGGATGAATGAAGTCTGATATCTGCAGGGATGGTGGAAGGAATATTTTCTGGGATGCACTGTCCTTTTTATAACCATTCCTGAAGCCCAGCCTCATGCTACGTAGGGCCCACTCAAGCTGATGCTTGACCTGTCCCAACCCTCTGTCCCAGCTTGGCCCTCTTGTGGTGGCTTCCTCTGCACATTTGTGGCATTGCACAAGAATTGGGACTTTACCTGGATCAACCTGCTTATCAGCATGAGGGGAGCCTGGTGCTTGCCTCCTGCACTCATATATGCTTGGGAGACTGATGGTGCCACCACCAGAGAGCCCACGTGGTGATGGGTGTTCTGGGCAGGAGCCACCCAAAGACTGGCGCCAGCCCTGCCATTCTTTCATTAATTCCCATATGAAAGAATGACTAGTGGTTAAAGTGTTCGTCTGGAACTCAGGAGATCTAGGTTGTAGTCCCCGCTTGGCCATGGGTTGACTTTTGGTCAATCACTCAGTCTAACCCAACTCACAGGGTTATTGCCAGGAACAGATTAAGAGGAGGAGGCAGATTATGTAAGCCCCCTTGGGTACCTGGCAATAGAAAAAAAGCTGGGCAATAAATGTTGACCAACAGGTGCCAGTGGATGGAAGAACTTTTGTCCTGAAAGTGCCTAGCGAATATGTCACTGCAAGCCTCAGGTGGGTCTACACTGTCTTAGGGCTAGCATATAACAGGCTCTGAATGGCTCTAAACATTTCCTCATGGAAGAATGAACAGAGGCAGTAGGATCTTGTGCCGCTGCCCTCTCACTGCCCTCCACCTGATTACAGGCATGCACCAGGGCTTGCCTGTATCCACCGGGAGTTTTTCCTCTTTCGGAATGCATCCCATCTTCTGTTGTTTCATTCGATCTCAGCTCTGGGATACAATCTCCCTCCATTCCCTAGACCCTGTGGAGACCCTTGGAAACCATGCTCCCCTGGGGGTGGACCACCCTATCAGGTTCCAACGGCCGAAGGTGAGGAGGGGGAGCAGCAGCATTTGGGCATATGCTCTGCTGCTGCTTCCGTCTCAGTTCAGTTCAGTTTCAAGTGAATCCTTCAGACCTGAACCATGGCAGCAAGCACAGTGTCCATCCTCCAAAAGCATCTGCTTCATTCCAAAAGCACAGAGTCTCCTTTTAAATACTGTAATCATGCCAGGTGGCCTTGCTTTATTTTTATGTCCAGTTCTGCTGAATGAACTGGAACCTAATAGGCCATTGGATGGCAGGAAGGACTGACAGTTGAAATATCAGCCTCTTCATCACTTGTAATGCTACTGAATTCCACTGTTGTCCCAACACTGCTGCCTTCGCTGAGGATTCATTTCTCTCCTGTTATCAGCAGAGTGCACCTATACTGTGTTTGAGTTTCTTAATAGAAAATACAGAGAACACAAAATCCCTAAACTGCAAGGCAGTCTGATGGCTTAAATCCTGAGCAGATCTAATCCTTCATCGTGTGCTTTCATTTGAAAAAATCCTCAGTCACGCAACCACGTGTTTGCATTTTTAAAAGTTTTTGTGCTGCAGTTGCTGGACGCTGGAGAGCATTTGGGTCTGACCAGCCTTCTCCACTCATTGAGCTGCATGTAGAAGAGGTGATGCCTGCGGAGCAGGAGAGAAAAATCCTTGGTCCACTGGATTAGCTGCATTACAACTCCCATCATCCCTGACCATCAACCGTGTGGGTTGGAAAATGTGCAGAAAAGGGCAACTGAATAATCAGGGAGCTGGAATGACTCCTCTGTGTGGAAAGATCCCCATACCACATCAGGGTCTGTTTAGCTGAGAAAGAGGCAAGAAAAGGGAGACCTGGCAAAAGTGTACAGAATTATGCATGGCACGAAGAAAGTGGATTGGAGAAAGACATTTCCTCCCTTTCTCATAATACTCGAACCCAAAGGGCCATCCCTTGAAATTCAATGGAAGGACATTTAGAATAAACAGAAGGAAGGACTTCTTCATACAGTGCATGAACTTCCACCAGATGTAGTGTTGGCTACCAGCTCGGATGGCTTTAAAAGGTGATTGGACAAATTCTGGGAGGACAATGCTAATAATGGCTACTAGTCCTGAAGGCTATACGCTACCTTTCATTTCCGAGGCGATAGGCCTATGCACACCAGGGACATGGGGACATGGATCCAAGTCTGCTGTTGCACTCATGTCCTGCTCGTGGGTTTCCCACGGGCAACCAATTCACCAATTCTGGTACAGAGGAACCATTGGTCTGATCCAACATAGCTATTCTTAGGTCCTTGTGTTTTATTTTATGAAATTGTAGAGTCAGAAAGGGAACACAACATCATCGAGGAGCTAGGGAAATTTCCCTATCAAGAAGTTACAATATCGGAGACCCTTTAGCATAGAGGAAAGGTGAGTGCAGAGAGGCATGATGGGAGCCTGCAAGAGACACTAGATGGGGAGACATTTTTCTCCTCCTTGTATAATCCTAGATTCCAGGGTCATCCGGTGAAGCTGAGCAGTGGGAGATTCAGCTCAACAGCATTCAGAGGGCCGTGGCTTTCTTGCCCCTACCAGAAAGTGTATCCTCTCTCCAAGGCTCATGCTGGCCCTTATGCTAGCTATGTTAGGACTCCGGTGCCCCAACTCACAGGCAACACAGGCTATAGGCTACACTCATTGGCATGCACATTTACACTTCTATCTGTTCCATTTGTACCCTGCCTTTTCTCCATGAAAACCAGGTTGGAGTGATTGTCCTCCTCCCATTCAGTGTGCCCTTCCAACAGGCTGGGGGTCAGTCACTGACCCACAGCCACTCAGTGAGTTCTCTGGCTATGTGGGGACTTGAACCTGGATCTCCTAAGTCCCAGCCCAGAATTCCGGCCACTCCATTCCACTGGCTTTCGGTAATGATGTTTAGCATTTATGTAACAGTTCCAGGAGTTCTTAGAGCTCCATTTGCATTATTTGAAAGGAAATTTTGTGTCTGAAATCCATATAAGGCAAGGTCCAGCCTCTTCAAAACCTCTCCTAAGCTGGTAAAAAGCACTCTTGGACATCACAGCCAACTACTCCAGTTAACACAACATCCATGAGGCTTGGCAGTAGGGATATGCAAATCAGCAAAACCTGAGCCTCTGAACCGAACCTCATTCCATTTCAAAGCTCATTCTGACTCACAGGCATATGACATCACAAGATTGTGTGCATGTAGAGGGAGGGTCTCTTTGCATGAAAATTCTTGCAACTTTTCATGTGTATGTTTCCAATGGATGCATCCATCTGAAATGTGCATGTTCTTCTCCCATTGATTAAAGTTCATTTGTACACATTTTTTCAAATGTAAGCATTTTTATGTGCATGTTTCAATTGTATTCAGGCTGTAGAAGGCATTTTCTTTTTTGCTCCATGAATCATATTGCAAGATCAAGAATGTACAGGCTTGGACCAAAGATTACCTCCAAATCCATGTTCATTCTGTCAAGTGTGAACTGGCTAAAGCCTGACAAAATCAAAGTGAAACCAGTTTCTTTCCCAACACGTGCACTTGTTCTTTGATGGGGAGTGTGACTCTGCAAAGCCTGGCTGTAAACCTTCATCCCAAGTGTTTGATCTCCTACCTACGTTTCTGACTAACCTTTTATTTCCTGTTCTAGGTGCTAAGATTCATCCCTGAAGCAGGTCATGTCAGGAGGAGGGGCAGAACAAAGAACAACATGGCACTGATTGACATTCAGCTGGAACACCATGAGCGTTGCGACTGTATCTGCAGTGCGAGGCCGCCCCGATAAGAACAGTCTCAGCTGTCCTAATTTCATCTTTAAGGACATCTTTCTCCTGGAGGAAGAGCAGTCCCCATGGAGTATCTCGGTGGCCATGAAACTTTGCTAACAGCCTGAATTGTAACTGGTAGAGAAATCCACATCCAACAGAAAGTACTACTAAGTGCCAGTATATTTCAGCATTGATAAGGCAGATTCATGTATCTGAATGCAAATCTGGGATTAAGCATTAGAGAACAGGAGAACCCAAAGGCTGAAATGTTCAGTGTGTGCAGTGAGATCTAACTACATGGCTGAATTTCCTAGTTGGCTTTTAAGAACTTTCTTGCATAAAGTACACGTGGGTATGCATGCATGTATTCGCATACCCTTGCACATACAATCCTATTAACTTAAGCACACTTACAATGTAAATAATGAAAAACGCATGTATATTTTCAAAGCAGCTCGTTCCTATGCAAGATCCCCACTCAACCATCTGTGCTCCATGTGAAGAAGCAGGTTTGTACATGTTGCCCCAGTGTACAAATGGGGAGTGAGTGTCTACATCCAGCAGTGTTGGAATGCATACACAGAGGCATGCGTTGCAACTTATGGTTCACAACAGGCGAGCTTGCACATTAAGCAGTCTGGATCCAAGGAGATGCAATCTTCTGCCCACTCATACAATATTACAGATTAGAACCAAACGCTCCTCCAAAGATCTCATTCTCATTCCTTCAGGTTACAGGTTCAAATACATCACAAGGGAGAGCATCAAGCTGTCAGCAAATATTCTTGCTGGATCAACTTTTATTGATGTGTCAGGTTGTGGCCAGTGCTGTCAAGCATCTTAGGATGCTTCAAATGCAGGTGTGGTCACCTTCTGTGTCCTCAGGAGCCACACTGTTATCCACATAGGAGTCTAATCACCATTATGTTTCCTAGGTTAGAATTAGGGATAGCGAATAAATTAATTAAGCTTGGACTGGAATGTAAACTCACCAAATCTGGGTTTTGGTTTTTTTTGAACCTGAATGTGAACCAAAACTTCAGTTTTCCAATTAGAAATACAAACAAAAATGGGGAAATAACTTTCAGATATTCATTTTGTTTGGAAAATTACTTGCAGAAATGTACATAATAGGCAAATGCATACAAAATACATATATTAGAAATGTGCACAAAATGCTTATGAATAGTCAAACTTTTAAACGTTTTTTGTTTAACTTGAGGCAACCAAAATTCAAGATGAATCAAACTTTAGTTTGGAAAAATGAGAGAAACCCAATTTAACAGATTCATCCAACCTATATTGGAATTTCAGAAGAACTTTACTGGACTCTTCAGCTTTCTCCACCTGGTTCTGGAAGATATTACTGTCCCCCCACCCTGAAGTTACAAATATCTCAAGGCTTAGGCTTATACTAAGGTCTTGAGGACAGTACTTTGTAGAAAGACAGTAACTGTATACAAGTACGCTGACTTATTCAGAGTACACTTTCACAGGGTACATTCAGGGTGCAGCTTTCACAATATGGAACAAGCTCTCCATTTATGGATTCCATAGAGATGGCTGGGGAGTGAGCAGGGACCTCTGAATACCCAATAATGCATTTAAGCACAAAGGAGCCATCTATCCAAATACATTCCTGTATTTCAAGTAGAACCCATCTGATTGCATAGCAACTGCAAAGAACTCCAGAACCCAAAATTGGACAGCTGGAATTTTTACCCCCTGTCCCTCATCTGTACATGTGTTTAAACTAGACCACCTTAAGATGGTTCTTAAGAATAATACACAGCATTTGTATTGCACTTTCAAGGGTTCTGAGAACTTCACTTACGTTATCTAGTCAAAGTGCTGAGAACAATTGTATAAGGTAAACTGGTGTAATTAGTTCCCCAACCTCCCATGTTGCAGATGAGGAACTGGAAGTGAGATAAATTGGCTTGCCTAATGCCACCTCATGAATGCAACAAAGGAGCAAGGACTTGCGTACCTCCACTCTTCTTGTATATGTATCTAAGCAACAGCAGAGTTCTAGTTTTTAGAGGCACATTTAAGGACCAGTATTCTTTTAACTACATATGGGACAGGAATGCCATACTTTTGTCATTATATACAGTCATGTTAGTTAACTGTCTTTAGTAGCTTCTATGACTAAGTTTAAACTCTTAGCATTTTTAAGGAAGAACTTTGGGATGATATTTTAATGAGGCATATTAATGCCTTGAGCATTTTCCGATTCATGCCAAACAATGCTGAATGTATATTATTTTCATTGAATATAAATATTCATTTATTACCTGCATAATGGTAAAATAAAATCCTTTAATGCTACAGCACATAGTCAGCTTCCTGTGCTGTTGAACATGTTATGATAAAGTTATTTGATAAACATTAAGGAAGAAGAGCTTTTCCAATGGGATTTTTTATATATACTTTTCCCTAAAAGCTATCCACACAAAATATAAGTCAGTTTATGGTCAAAAGGGAAATGAACTTTTGCCTGTAGATGCAGTAGAAAAAATTGGGTGGAAGGTTTCACAGATACCTTTTATGTTTTGCTTTCGGTTTCCTGTCTTAAAGGAAGAAAGAAATCGTTTATAATAGTGTTTCATGCATTAAACTGAGATTGGCCTGTTATCAGGTAATACTGTGAACTTTTAAACCACTCCTGTTCTGCTGATTATATCAATAGAGTTCTAAAATTATCTCCATCCTCTAGATTGGTTTGTTTTATCAAGTTGAACGTCTTATCTCCTTGTTTTTATATCTCTATCAAACCCTTCCTGAATAAAGTTTAAATGCTGAATCAGTTACTGCTTCCTATTCTGGTGGAACACTTGAGAATGCAAATACAACCTGTCTGCTGGCTTTGCTTCGCATTATTTGAATCAGTTATAATTGTTTTCCTTCCTAAATGCCATTTTAAGAAATTTAAGTAAGTTTGTTCCTATTTTGCCCCCATATTAAATGAACAGCTCTGAATTCAGATTCAAATTGACATTTCTTTTGAAATTTTTCACAGTCCTTCAGCTAAACATTCCCCAATATTCCAGGCTACAATTGGGAAACTAGTATGTGAGACCATTGCATTTATCATCATTAGTAACTAAATGATATTCCAAGTAGCACCTCTGCATGGATCCAACACTGGGCTATCACTTTGATTTAAATGCAACAGTTCATTGAATATCATCTCTCAAGAGATGATGCGGTTATGTAATTTTAGAGCAGCATATACTGGTCTTAAAGGGAGGAGGATGTTTAAGGGCTGTCAGGTAGAGAAACGTAGAAACAGAGCAAGTCAGAAGGGGTCTCCTGGGCCATCTAGTCTGACCCCCAGGTTGAGCCAGCTCTACTCATGACATGCCTTCCATGTATACACCATGTTAAGACCTTTTTATTTAATCAATATTTTAATATGTTTTAATATTGAATGTTGTTGTTGTATTTTATTAATTTGCAGCCAGTGTGGATGGTCAATTTATCTATGCTGTAAGCCATCCAGAGACGCAAGTAATTGGACAGCATACAAATTTTATAAATAAATAAATACATAAAATACACAACTAAATAGTCTCTTCTCCCCACAATGGGAAGTTTTGCCTTTTAAACTCACTTAAATTATACCCCACACCCCTGCAGCTGCAGGAATAAAATGGAGTTTCTTTCTACTTTCTTGATGCTAAGGGAATATATGCCATTCCATTATAGGTAATGATGACAAAACTAAATCCAATAAAATGAGCACCTGTAAACTGTACATGACTAGTTGACCTGCCTACGATTATTGAGGAAGACATAATGAGCCTCGCTCAAGCTGTCACGAGGTTTGTTCTGCTTCATCACCTGTCCTGAGATGTGTAGTCGTTCAAGGAACCTCTGGTCAGTAGGCCTCTAGACTTCTGCCCCAAGGTTCAAACCTCACCAGGGATAGGAAAATATTCTTTCATTCCCAAATGTAAATTTAGGTAAATCCATATATAAAAGGAAAGCAACTGAGAAAACCTGACGTGACGTTCTCGCCTACCTACACTAGCCAAATCCGGCTCTTTTCAGCGTGGAGAGGACGATGCAATGCCTGCCTGCTAAGCAGCTGATGAAGATGAGGGGCCTGGCAGAAGGACAAGGTGACAATCCCAATTCACCACCAATGTGCTTGAAAACAGGGATTCCAGGAGAGACTTTAAACAGCTAAGCACTCAAAGGCCTGGGCTTGGATGGACAAGTCAATCTGTTTCCATTTCCCTACATTTGAATGCTTTTAAACTCAAGTTTGTTTTGCCCCAGATATGGAGAACATTGCAAATTCTGGAAAGCCTTATAAACACTGAACTGAAAAGAACCCTAGTGGCATCACTGGTCTGGGCTCCTTCGACTCACTCTTTTTTCAAGATGCAGCATGGTATATAATGCTTGTGTTGGAGTGACAATACTGTTACTGGGAAGACAGCTGTGTTTTTGTGTGCGCAACATCTGTAAAGATCTGGATTTCTCCAGGCTATGTCAACACACCAGGTCGAGCCCGCTCAGCATGGGAGCACTCCTCCTTTTTCTGCAGGTTGTTGAGAACCAAACTAAGCATCCCCCTAAGCCTCGTGGAGCCATGCATGACTGTTTTTCCTACAATCTTGGAAGCATTTGTGGCCTCCATTTCCATCAGGTTCCTGATGCTTCAGTTCACAACAACCCCCCCCCCTTTATTTCTGCTGCCATGTTGAGTGTTTAGTCACCAGACAATATTTGTTGATATTAATCTGTTTGAAATGGTTTTATTAGTAATGGATGGTTTAACTTTTTTTAGCTGTTTTACTCTCTTGTTGTTTTATTGTTTTATCATCAATCAAACTGTTTTATTGGTATTTTACTGTTTGCCCTGAAAGACTTTGGCTAAGAGGCTTGGTGTACAACAGCAATAAATGAATGAATGAATTCCAGCTGAAGATTACATATAGGTTACCACATAGTGGAGCTTAAAAAAAGATTCCATTTTTTTTCTTTTTCTTTTTAATCCCTCATCCTTGGGTAGAATTTTGGAACAAAATCAAGGCAGGAGAAACTTAAAACCCCATCTATGGAACCGTCTCCCCACTGCAGCCTGCATGGTACCAAACTTGTCATCTTTTCAACAAAAAGTTAAGATGCCTCTTCATGCTGAAGCATTTAAAGGTCTGCTTAGTTTTCCAGGGGCTTGAAGGCACTACGTATCCCAGGTGATTTTCCTTCTTGTCTTTTCATGGGGCCATTTTTAATATTATGTTTAAAGTCATTTTAATGCTGCTCTGATAATATGATATTTTTACTGCCTTTTGTTGTCTTCTTTCTATGCATTGTTATAAACTGCCCAGGTAGCTTTGGCTGTGGGGTGGTGCAGAAATACAAAAAGAATAAGAATAATGGCTCCTTTGCTAAAGTACCATGGTCGCAATCCAATTCAGAGCCATGCACACCTGTGGATGAGTAGAAAGGAGCATTGTGCATAGCTCCATAATGTTGGATAAGGAGGATGTTCAGTGTGGTCCCAGCACAGCCAGCTCAGAGGGATCAGTGTCACCAAAAAGCAATGGCAGATTTCTGCTGGGATGCTCACCTGGGAGGCAACCCGCAAAAACAGACACACGTTAATCACAAGGAATTTTAAACCAGACGATCTCACCCTGCTTCAGATCTGTTACGATTTTTCAGAACACCATTTCCAAGGACCTTCTGCTGTTCACTTATACCCTCTACAAATGAACGGAAGCAAAAGCACAGTCAGTTGTGCCATCTGTATCAAAAGTATGAACTGGTTCTTTCTTTTTCATTTGCTATCCAATCTTTAGTGCAAACATGACTTTTGAAAGATCCTGAAATAGTTTCATTAATTTAAAAGGACTGTACTACTTGGGAAGAAACAAAGCCAACAAAATCGCTGCATTATTCTGAGGCAGACTCTACTTCCTTGCAAGCAATTTATATATGTAATGTTTTTGTTGTTATATCAATAAAAAGCTACCTTCTGTGGCATGCTTCCTGTGTTTCAGCAATACACCACTCAATGTTTACCTTCTATTGTCAATTGAAAATGGACAGTAGTTTTTTAGGGAGGTGATTTGGTGCAGTATGCTGATGACACCCAGCTCTACCTTTCTTTTTCAACTAATCCAGGTGAGGTAGTGGCTGTCCTGAACTGGTGCCTGGCTGAGGTAATGGGCTGGATGAGGGCCAATAAACTGAAGCTCAATCCAGACAAGACGGAGGTCCTGTTGGTGGGTGGTTCGGGCTTCGGGATGGGGGACTTGGGTCTTGTCCTAAATGGGGTTGCACTCCCTCTGAGGGACAGGGTTCACACCTTGGGAGTGCTCCTCGACCCTGAGCTGTCTTTAGAAGCTCAGGTGACGGCGGTGGCGAGGAGCGCCTTCCTTCAGCTTCGGCTGATCCATCAGCTGCGTCCCTTCCTGGAGAACGACTGCCTGGTGACAGTGACACACGCATTGGTGACTTCCCGATTAGACTTCTGGAACGCGCTCTACGTGGGGCTACCCTTGAAGACGGTCCGAATACTTCAATTGGTGCAGAATAGAGCTGCCAGGTTGCTGACGGGGACTGGGCGTTGTTCTCATATAACCCCAGTTCTCTGTCAGCTTCACTGGCTCCCGATTGAAGTCTGGACCCAATTCAAGGTGTTGGTTATGACCTATAAAGCCCTCAACGGCTTGGGACCTGGATATCTAAAAGAATGCTTGCGTCCATATATGCCCTCCCACCCCTTGAGATCGGCAACAGATGCCCTTCTCCGGGAACCCTCCATGAATGATATTAGGAGGGTGAGTACCCAGAGGAGGGCCTTCTCTGCGGTGGCGTTCCACTTATAGAATGAGCTCCCCAGAGAGGTCCACCTGGCGCCGTCATTATTTGTTTTTTGGCGCCAGGTGAAGACCTTTTTATTTAAAACTTATTTTAATTGTTAATTTATTATGTATTTATAGGTTTTAAATTTTTAAACCAAGATGTTACTGGGTTTTTTAAATTTTTAATTGTATTAATTTGTTATTTATATGTTTTAATTATGTTGTGAGCTGCCCCGAGGCTTTGTTGCGATGGGGGCAACATAGAAATGTTTTAAATAAATAAATAAATAGGTAGCATTGTTATTTCATGTATAGAGTGACACAGTTGTTTTTATGCACTGTCACATCATCTCCAATTGATTGGAACCCTACGAATGCAAACTCCCCATAATGTATTCATGACAGCTTACTCAGCTCTTCTAAGTTCAAGATGGACTTCCTTTATGGAGTCAATCCTTCTAGCACTTGGCCTTCCTCTTCTTCTTCTGCCTCCAACTAGCATGAACATTTCCTCCAGGTAGTCTTGCCTTTTCATGGTGTGTCCAAAGTATGACAGCCTCACTTGCATAGTTTTTTGCTTCTAGGGAAGTTCTGGATTGATTTGATCTAGGTCCCACTTGTTCGTCTTTCTGTCAGTTCAGGGTATTTGCAAAGCTCTCCTCCAGCACCGTGCTTCAGATGCATCAATTTTCTGCTGGTCAGCTTCCTTCACTGTCCAGCTTTCTCACACATACATGGTGATCAGGAATACAGCACCGTGGACATTCTTTGCCTTGGTCTCCAATGAAACTTCCTTTCACTCGATTATCTTTTCGACTTCCTTCATTGCTTCTTTTTCCAATCACAGTTTTCTTCAAATTTCTTGCCTGCAGTCTCGATTTGAATTGATGACAGAGCTGAAGAATTATGAAAAACTTTCATAATTTCAATTTCTACATTGTTAACAGAAAAGTTCTGTAAATGTTCTGTGGTTATGATTTTT